CTCTCCCACACGATTCCCCCCCCCCAACCCCTCTCGTCTACCTCCCGTCCTTTAACAAGAAAATTGAAATCTTATAACATAAGTCAAGCTTAAAATTAACTACAGGATTCCTTTACCAAAAATCAAAGGCAAAATGAAACACAAACATTTATAAATTTTCCCGAATATATCGTCTTTCTGCTCACCACCGGTATTTTATTTTTAGCTGAGAGTTTCTTCGAGTATAATGATATTTATTATTTATAATTTTAGCAAAGACGTTCGTAAAAAAAAATATAAACAAATAAAATGCAGACTAGAGAGACATTGCGATGAGATGGTAGCAAATTGTCCAGTCGACGACAGTTTCCTAATTCGTGACGGTTTCCGCACATAAATTATTTATGTTGTTGTTCGTTCATAAATACAATCCATAATATTATGTTCTTGTTTTTTTAATAATTATAACTACTTTGCTCTTGTCTATGATTGTGTTTATTTTGTTCTTGTTTGTAAATCAAATTGTTAAATTCTTGTTTACATGTATTATAAATACAAATGTTTTGTTTATGAATATTATTATTATTTGTGGGTGGTTGGTGGGTGCTCTGGTGTGGTTTGCTTCTTCTTTCCAATGAAAATTCTATCGTCCTTATCTCCCCTTCTTATTTTTGATGTTTGTTACTCTCTTGTAACACCTCTAATCTTCTGGCGCTCATATGACCTTATGCAGTTGCGAGCGCCGTAAATCTCTAACAAAAACAAAAAACAAACGACTTTTATTTTCTTGTTTACCATTATGATACGTTCCTGCTTATAATCATTACAGTTGTTATATTGTAAACTCATTAGATGTACTTTATATTTTTGTTTCCCACCTTAAAATTATTTATTAGATATATTCTGGTTTCCCCAGCTGGTTTCCCTAATGGACGTGCAAGAACAACGAGCTCGCCTGGAAAAGGCGCAGGTGGAATGTGGGCAGCGGATGCTGGACAGTCTGATGCTGGGCGGTGGTGGTGGTGGAGGTGGAGGTGGTGGTGCTCCCGCCGGCGCCCACTACAACAACATCTTCACCTGGAGCAGTCTCGTGGACTCAGACAACGCCACCGTCGCCTCCGCGGCCACAAGGACGGATTTTACACTACACATCGCTAACCTCACAAAGCCAGGTGGGTGCATTAACTACGCAACGTGACGAAATGGTTTCGTTTTAGAGCAATGCATCACCTTATTTCAAAGACTTTTTCGTTCTGTAGGTTTCTTCAGTAACCCATCGTTCTACATGCAGCTATTTGAGACATCTGATGGTTTTGTTTTGTTTAAGTAAGGTTTTACGGCGCTTGCAACTGCAAAAGGTCATATGAGCGCCAAAGGGTGGATGTCAACAGAGAAGTCTAAACGGGGAATCAGTCTTACTCTGCTCACCTCTCTAGCTCCAACAGCACAAAGTCTGCTTCGACTATCAAGGCATCCCGGGAAATAAGGGGTCACAAGAGAGTGACAAACATTCAAAAGAAGTAGAGGAAAATGACGATAGTAAGGAAGAGGAAAAAAGCAGTAGTTCCCCCTATGTTGTTCGGCACAGTGTTAGCATGACATTGATCAATCAGCCCATTTACAATTCTACTGTGCATGAGAACATGTTAATGACTCCCCCCAC